TGATGCTGTCAGATGTTATCTAATTCTAATCGACACTACAGTACATTTAATACATTAAAAATTCAACAAACATGTTTTCCTTTCTGTTGTAAACAAGGATGTGGGTTAGACGTAATGTTGTACATAATGTTTAGATTCTTTGTTTCATTTTAAAAAACCCTCAATTTATTATCAGGAGCTACAGGTACTAGCAACCTGTCATCTAATCAGACCATAAATTCTGTTCTAAAGCTTCTGCCAAATGCATAAATGTAATCAAATATTTTTTAAATTGCAAACAGAAAAAATATTTGGTAAAGTACTGTGTAAAAAGTCCACAAACTGTCGGCGCAATAGCCTAGTGGTTAGCGCGCTGACATTTGGTGCAATAGCATGTCAGGGCGTTGCGAGTTCGAATCCCCATATCGTGTCTTATAAATTCTTATAAATTATTTCCCAGAGGTGAGCGGCTTGTGCACACATATTGGTAGTGATGAGCGCAAATAACGCAACCATGGGCACGCCGCACTCACGCCTCCCATGTGCACTGGTTGTTGCAAGATCGAATACTATTGTAGCCAGAAGTTGACAAGAATTTTTTATATTATTTATTAAATTTCCCATTTATTGTATTTTATTAATGTCTACCCCCACCCCAACCCTAAACTCAACTATCACAGTAACTTAAAAACAGTAGTTGTACCAAGTATTATTTATGCTATCTAATAAATTACTAAATAATTTTTATTTTTTAACGTTGACCCCCTCCCCAACCCTAAACCCAACCGTCACAGTACTGTAAAAATATTAATTATTGTTATACAGTGTCATAAAAATGCTGTTATATTGATGTGCATATCACACTTCCGGCCGGCCGCGTATAGACTTCACCAGGTGCACCCAGCTGAAATCATCTTCAGCATGCCATGAGTCACGTGACAAGAACTGACCAAAATTGGTCAACGCACAGCAGCGTTTTTTAATTTTCTCTATGAATAAATCTTGTATCAGAGTTGCAGCAATGTTTTGCCAGCTTGTCATCCTCTGAGAAAACGGGTAATGGTCGCCTAGCAATCTACGTATACCCACCGGGACACTGTAAAATAGTCAAGTGTTGATGGTCCATAATGTCTAAAAGGTTAAGGACTATTGTTTTAAAACACTGCATTAAAACAAAAACACACTAATGAAAACGTATTTCTAGAGGACGATAGATTTTAGTGAGACTTCACCCTGTCTGCTGCCATGTACCTTAATGACAGTACCATCCACTCAGAGAGCTGGACAGAAAATCTTATATGTCTCCAAAAGGTTGTTAGATGAGCTTCAGAAACTGTACTGATCACCAACCCATGAAACACGGATGTCAGAAGAATGTTACATGGCAATTGGATGAGAGCCGAGAAGACCTATGAAGAAACACAGAGAGCAGGGATTAGAGATACAGTCATATTGGTCTGGAAAGACAAGATGACAGAATGTTCATTTTTTTTCTAAACTGTCCCTTTAGCACAGTCAATGGTAATGCTCATCTCGAGGGCATACACATTGATCAGGTCTGGTGGGCTTGTAGATAATAAATAAATCTCAGTGTAGTTCACCTTCAGCATTCAACCTTTTTTTCGATAGGTACTATAAAAAAGAAGCCATTAATGATACTTGCTGAGAAGGACAGCAGTGTGGTCAGAATAGGGGGAAAATAATCAGCATGTGCTCTTTCAGATTCTTTTCTCCTTCCAAGATGTATAGACATTTGCGCACACACACACACACAAACAAATATTTGTGTGCATAAAGATGTGTGCTAACTTTCATGCTAACACACACACGGTGTTTCCCAGTTTGACACCGAACAACTGTGTGGTAACAAGGCAAATGTATTCAATTACAGCAACAGATCCCCTCACTCCTCCATTTTTCCTTCTCCATCTTTCCATTCTTTTTATCTTGCCACTAACAAGCATTCATTTAGCCCACACCCAAGAACATTTCTGGGGTTTCAGTGTGGTGCAAGCTGTACGCTTCTTTAAAAGTAGTTTTGTACTTTTTTGTTTGTCTTATTTGTTCTTTGTTTTTCAGTGTTAGCCTTAGATAACCCAGAGCATTAGCGTGTATTTCTGATTTGTGAAGACTCATAATTATTACTTCTAATATTCAATAAAAATAAGGTCATGGCAAGTGGTGCTGCATTGATTTGAAAAATAAAGGTTTTGCAGAGAGAAAGTATATTGGATTTCTCTGTAAAGTACATTTTCCGTATGCATCTTTGTCATGAAGTAGTTGTTTTGTATGTCAACAAGAATGAAAATGTATGCATTTTAAGGTAAAAGAATGAATTGGTTGGAAAGAATAATTTGTTCCCTCAAATCAATACTTTTGTGACAACAATTTCTACTCCAAAACTTTTACAGCAGATTTCAGTCATTTCTATTCAATATTCTTTGCATAAAAAATTTTCTGGATAAGTTGGCGGTTCATTCCGCTGTGGCGACCCCAGATTAATAAAGGGACTAAGTCGAAAGGAAAATGAATGAATGAATGAAATTCACCTGTATATATTCTTTATTTTGTGAAGTTTATTTCTAAACAAATTTCTACAAGGGAATGTGCTTATGTTTGACCATGGCTGGTTCTGCATTAGCTAACACGATAAACCAATCAGACGATTCACCATAAATAACCTATAAATAAATAAATAAGTTTTCATAGCTCATAGGTCATTTTTGTTTTGACGAAACCCCCCTTCCACCTCTATTCCTCCTCCTTTTTCCTATATAGGGAGGCCCAGTGGTCATTGTTCACTAACAGCAAGAATGTCACTAGTTTAAGTCCTTACCATGCCATGTTCTCCCCGTGCTTATGTAAACTTTCCCTGGGTTCCCCAGATATCCCATACAATTAAAAAAGTGATTTACAAAATAACCGAGACACTTTGTTATAATTTTTTTTTTATAAAGAAAGTTCAAGCTTGGTGAACTTTACATGGACTAATGGCTCGCTTTTATTATGTCTAATTATCTTGTCCCGCCCCTTTTTTCGCAGTGACATGATAGAATTTCACATGCTCAAACTCTAGTGGGAAAACGTCATTACACACACACACGCACACCTTGCTGAGTCTTGTTAGTTGTAAGTGAGCAATTTAAAGTGTTTTCCTTGTCTTGCCCTCCATGGTTTTACCCTTGTTTTGTTTTCTGTTTAAGTTGTTTTGTCATCTGTCCTGACCATTCACCTGATTTTCTGACTACGCTTTGGATTGCCTGCATACTCCCGTCCCTTTCCTATTTTGACCTTATCCTAAAATAAAGCTGCACTTGGATCTTCACCTCTGTTGCCAACCTGATTCGTTATATAAATGAGCTAACCCTTTTACTGCTACACTGAACCCTTTTGTTGTGATATCGCTACCATGTTCGCACCCTCCCTCTTAAAGTGACAGTTCTACCCAAGATAAAAATATTCTGTCATCATTTACTTGTCCTTAACTTGATGCTACTGATGATGATGATGATGATGATGATGATGATGATGATGATGATGACAAACGATGCCAGACTTTTCCTTTTTTGGGAAAACTACCCTTTTTAAGTTAAACCTTGTTCAGGCAAAGCAAACTGTCACTGTCAATGCATATTAACATGTTCACAGCATCAAAAATTTCAAAATGTAACACGAAGTAGCAAATAAACAAGGTGCAAGTAATTTACCTTAGCTAATAAAGAGTACTGGGGCTTATCTGTACTGGTTTGAACTGACTGCTGGTATTACGCTTTCAACTCCCCATGTCTCAATCCTCCCCACTGGGTATTGACTGCAACTTGACAGACTCACATTCAAGAGCATATACTTCAAATACCATGGCCTGCATGCTTCCAAGGTGTGAAAATATTCAGTTACTCCTTAATATTACACAGAATATATCAGTGAGGATATTGATTGTTAACAGCAGTGGGGTTATTAATCTCTCTACAGGTTAACAGCAACATGCAGAGCTTCTATATTAGTATAATCTCAGCGGAAACATGACACTCTAACAGTATCTTAAGTGTGGTTACAAGAAAAACAGGATGAGCTCAAAATTGTAGAAACTTTAGTCATAGTTTATAAAGTGTTTAAATAGATGGTAAGATCCCTAAAACTCCCAAACAGATCCCTAAAACTCCCAAGCTTATAAAGTCTTTTCTATTTATGGCAGTAAGTCCTCAGGCCAACATTGAATTGAAGATTCGTATGGGACTAAAAAGTCGCCTTATTCACTATTGCCATTCCCAATATTAACTCACAATAGAACTTGTGTAGGAAATAATGAATACAGATACTAGCTAATTCAAACTGGTAGATGCAAATGATAAGCTCCAAGATTTCTATTTTAAGATTTCGAAACAAAATATAAACCATAAAGCATAAAAACATGAAGCAGGCCAAAGTTTTTCAAAACTAATAATAAAAAAAATTGTTTTGCAGAAAATCAGTATATTAGAATGATTTCTAAAGGATGACATGACAATAAAGACTGGAGTAATTCAGCTTTTTCATCAAAGGAAAAAAAATCTATAAAATCCTCTTTTTTTTCTAATATTTTACTATTTTTTTTTATTTAAAAAACACAGGTTAACATAAACGAGAGCATCAAAAAATCTCATCAACCCCTTATAAGCAATAATGGAAGGTCCTAAAGTTTATGTTTTATAATTCTAGCCAAGATCTGTTGTTGTTTCAGATTGATTTTCAGTCACTCTTATTTTGTTGCTCATTGTTTTCTCCCTCATGTGTTTTTATTTGTCACCATGGTTACTCACTGTTTGTTTGATTTTGTCTACATGTTCCTCATTTAGTTTCTTAATTTATTTTTAATCCATACATTTTAAGTTTTTGTTACTTTTAATGGGCTCCTATTTTACCCAAGATAAGTCTTTTGTGTCTACAGAATGAGTCTGTAAAGTTTTAGCTTCAAACACCCATCAGATTATTTATTATAGCTTTTTAAATCTGGGAAATTTGAACTGTTATCCCAACAAACACACAACGTTGCCTCAACGTAGCGACCTTCCTACAACGTTGTACCAACCTTGCAAAAAGGTTGAGGATTCTACGTTGTTGCTAAACGTTGTCACAACGATGTCATAAGGTTGCCATTTAAACATCACGAGGGCCGCATACTTTAGGTTGTGCTTAGGTGGCGTGGACAACCACTGTACAACATTTACTGGTCACAGCTGAATCAGTTTAAATTTCAACAAGCCGTCGTCTCATTCATCAACGACCGAGGAGACGTGAGTATTGTTTTACTTCGTCTTGCTAAATAAGATACGTAAATCGTGAATATTCAAACAAACCTACGATTTCGACAACAATCTGTTCCAACATTACACACACACAAAAGCCGTAATGAAGTTATTACGAGCGAGTAACATTTCGGCATTCCGTTCACGGACGGCAACAACATTAAAATCATTATGTTAAATCTTTCGATAAAACATTTCCTGATTATTTACCTACGCTTAGTCTTTAGTCAAATGGAAAATAATGTTTTTGAAGTTCAGTTTTTTCCATATCCATAGTGATCAGTCAGTATGATACTTTATCACACGAGCCGACCCACTTTTTACAAAACACACAAAATAACTTTTAAATACAAAACATCTCTGTGCAGATTGCGTCCCGTTAAAGGAACAGTTCACTCAAAAATGATATGTACTCACAAATTATTTGCCCTGTAAATAATAAGTGATTCCAAACCTTTAAGTTTCTTTATTCTATTGAACACTAAAGACTGTAAGCATTTGCTTTCATAGTAAGAAAACACTAATTAAATAGTTACAGTTTTCCAGCTTTATTTAATACATCTTTTTTATTGTTTAGCAGAAAAAAAGCTAAATAAGTTTGGATCAAATAAAGGATGAGGCTAAATGGCAGAATTGTCAGTTTTGGGTGAGCTATCCCTATAAGTTAAAGTATATAAGTTGATGTTCATATGCCTGATTAATATAGATATTAATAAAAAGGTCTGCTAGTCTAAATTTCTATTTTGATTGGTCTTTTGATGTTTTATTTAAAACCCACTCTTTTCTTTGCTCAACAGGCTATTTTCACATGGAGGTAATCTTCTATTGATAATTTCTGGATTTTAAGTATGTGTAAGTTGCATAAAACTCTATTGTTTAACCACTCACTGTTGTTTTCAAATTACTCATGTAACTTGTCTTTCAGAATGTTTTCAGCTGTTGAATTCACCTCAGATCAGTGTTGCTGTAATTCCTGATCTATGGAAAGAATAATTGAATGAGGTAAGAAGTATACTACTCTATTTACTATCATAATAAATGTAGTATTGTTACCTAAAACAGCATGTTCATAATGTGGAAAATAGATCATGCTTATGAAAAATTACTTTATTACTTTGTACAGCTGTTATTGAAATGACACTAAGTTTAACATTCCATTTACAGCGAGCAACGCCACAACTACAGGCCCTGTTCTTTCTCTTCTCATAATTTAAGTAAGTATTGGGAGACTAACTCTGACTTCTGTTAACTCAAACCTGTTTTCCCTGTATCTCTAAATTTATTTAATTGTATGTAATTTTGGTATATGATATATTATTAAAGCATTAAAATAAAGTAGGCTACATAATTACTCACTGGAGATTTTATATGTAATGAAATTACAATAAATGTCTGAAACTTCAATAACTTGCTAGTCATAGTCGTTTCCATCTGTCCTCTCTTGTTCACTGCCTATTTTGACTTGTGTCTGCTGTGGATCTCTGAAGCTGGATTATCTGTTGGATTTGTTTCTTCCTCTGACTGCTTTCTCCATACCAACAACTACGACTGGTCTTCAGCTGCGCTCCCCGGTCTGCTGTATTCTCCAGTCCAGAGCTTCACTGCCCAGTGTCTGAATTTTAATTTATATATTTACTTATATGTATATTTACATTTTAATGATTTCTTGTTTACTTTTCTTGTTTGTTTACCCTTTAGTTTAATTATATATATATATATATATATATATATATATATATATATATATATATATATATATATATATATATATAAAATCTAAACTTTATACTGTTTGCTTATAATTAGATGTGTACTGTATGTATTAAATGTTGTGAAATATATAATAAAAAGTTTGATTATATTCATTTGTGTGTTATTTTAAACACTTTAAAGTTTACACATGCAGTTGTTAAATTAAATAGGAAAAATAAATGAACAATATTTCATATTAAGCAATACTGGAAAAGAATTGCTGCTTATCCTGTATTCTAGGCAGTATTGATAAACTGACACAAAAAGTATTAATACAAGTAGTAAGAACGCCGCCTCGCGGTTGCTGAATGTCGCACGACAACGTTGCTACAGCCTTCTCACGTCTTACATTTCTACGTTGTGACAATGTAGCGAGCACGTAAGCGGCAACGTTGCCTTTGAAAAAATACAACGTTGTGCAGACATCGCTACAACGTAAATGTGTTTGTTGGGATGGCATTGTAGCTGGTTTTGTTGCCAACGCGAGCCGAGCATGACATACCACGGGGGTGTCAGAGCAGTAGGCTTAATTTATAAACAGCAGTGACAGAAAAGAATGAAGCAGATCTCCCTTACTACAGTAAGAACTTTCCCAACGGTTATTTGTTAAATTTGTTGTGGAGTTAATTTAAGCCTTTCTGCAGCAACACACACACACACACACACACACACACACGCGTTTAACTTTGCACTGTTTTTGCACAACAAATCTGACAGGATACATGTTAATACCCACTGCTGTATGAATATACATTATGTTAATGTACAAAATAAACCTGATTTAACGTCCACAAACTGGGATTGAAGCTTCTTTTTTATAATTGTACTGACACTATGCTGCTGTTGTGATGAATTTCATAGCAATTTTACTGTCTTTATTACAAACATGCACTGATTTAAAAACGTTTTAAACTTGTAAAACTCATTCTTGATCACATTTGATAATGATTGATGATCGCAGAGGACTGAACAGATCTTTATTTCCTTTTTGCTTTGCGCACGTCCTGTCTTGTTGATATGATTACACGCGCTACTACAGAAACATGTTAATAAGTGTCTTTCAATTAGGTCAGTGGGCGGGGAAACCGCAGTCCTATGTCACGTTTCTGTGAGCCTCAAAATGGAAGGGATTTGGATCCTATTTTACAACAAGAAATTAAAAAAAGTCATTGTGTTTCTATCACTCCAATATGATTGTAGACAAACTATACCACACACATTTCTGTTCAAACAGCTTTAAAAAGATCATTTTTTATACTTGGTGCCCTTTAAGTTTCCATGAAACGCATATCCAAATTTTCATTGCCAATCTTAGCCAATTGTAATTGTTTATTTTGGTTCAATTTGTAATTTCCATAAACAACACAGAACCCTGGGGACCAGAGAGAAGCTGGCTTGGAGGCTGACTCCCCCTGATCCAATCTTAGTTGTTCTTTGTCTGTTTGTGCCCTAGTACACAATCAACGACTCTTCTTATGGGCTACTTTCTGTAGTTTTGCTATGTTGAATCTACTTAGCCAGTAGACTCCTTTTCTACTCATTTTCATTAAAGTGTTAACGTGCAAGTAAATCTATTTAAAAAAAACACTAATTATGAATGTTTTCCTAAAGCAAACATAGAAAATAACAATAACAACTAAAAATGACATGAAGCATCTTTTTAAATGACGTCGCTTCTAGCATCGTTGATCCCCTTAACATGTCTAGGGCTCAGCGCTGGACTGTCTAATAGCGTAGCTCCTCACCAAACTGCTGCTATTTCATGATGGAAAGCAAACTTTTTAATGGCCATCATTTCTTCTCATAAACAAGCGGTGCGTGCGGATGTAAGCGCGTGAGATGCAGTTTATTCTGGTATTTGGTGTTGTCATTGATAAAAGATGAGCAAGATTATGTGCAAGAGAGTTATGGAAAGCGATTAACTTTTGAATTATCTGATCGTGAGTTCAGCTACTGAACCATAAATCCTAACCGTCCCTCGAGTCCCTTTGGCGCTCATCTTTTCACTTGCTTTATTTTCTCCTCTCTCCCTGGTAGACTGTTTTCTTCTTACACTTAATATATGTTTCAGACTAAAGGGAGAGGGACAGTTTTGTTGTTTCAGTTTAAGTTTAAGTGACAGGTCACATTTTATTCAGTTTCACTGTGATGTTGTACATTTATTATGTGCGTTTTGAAATTCAGTCCTTAAATATTTGTATTGATTCATCTGTAGACTTCCCTCCAAGGTCATTCTATACTCACTTGTGCTTTAATAGTCTCAAATATTGGTTTGGTTTATTCTCTGCATTATGATCAGTGGCGTGTCTGTGTTTATGCTCTTAAATGTTCTTCTGCATTTTAATTCCAAATCCTTCATCCTTTTTTCCACATCAGATTTAGTACTTTGCTATAAAAACATTCAATTTGCCAGTGGTCTTCAGCATTCCATCCACCCAAGTGTGAGAATGTATTCTCGCACACGTTTAAGCAAACCTCTTGTGTCTATTAAGCCAACAGAAGCGCTGAAGTGTGTATTTGTCTGTTTGTCTACTCAGGAGCAATGGGAGGAAGAGAAATATAGCTAAATAATACATGCATATGAGTGTGTGTGTGTGTGTGTGTGTGTGTGTGTGTGTGTGTGTATGTGTAGTTTCTGGCCCTGGGTCTGCAGTAGTCAGCTAAGCCATAAATGATTAAGTACATGTTATTAAAATCTGACTTTTGATTAACCTCAAGTTTTCATCATATCACTTTCTCTGCCTATATCTTTTCTGTGTAGTAGTAATATTAGTGAATGAACAGCTTCTATGAGTAAAGTTATGTTATGAAAATGTTGATGTATATTTAATTGCACAAATCGTAAGTATTACAAGTTAAAACTCAGCAATTAAGGGTGTCACGATCCTCCAAATCCTCGATTCGATTACATTTTCGATTCTAAAGGCAGGATTCGATTCGATTTTCGATTATGAATAATTCATTAATTAATGACCAATTAATTATTTGTAGCCTACCGTTTAAACTAAGTGACCTGGATGGTCTTTGTTTTACCCATAAACAAATCATACAGTAAATGAATAAAGGCAAGATACACACATAATTACCACCTGTCAATCACTTATTCTGCGGGACTCGTGAATAGGCAGTGATCTGTGTCGTTATAATGGCGTCGGTAAAAAAGACGCACAACCAACAGGAACCAGCCAACAGTATCTGAGGTGTTCGCTAAAATGACTAAGTACAAGTGAGTAAAAGATTGAAGCAGTCCTCTGACTGCCTGGACCTGCTGTCTCAAGCTCATATATGGCTGTGTGTGCGTCTGTGTCTGTGTGGTCACGTGATGTGCATTTTCAGAGGTAGAGAGGAAGGAGGGCTGCTCAGAAATGCCACACGCCGCTATGGATGTCAAATCGTTGTCGTTCTAAAATGCCATTTAAAAAACAAAGACAGTGTAAACAGGGCCTGAGTGTGTACTTTTCGCGAGCGGTTTTGCAACGGGGGCGGGCGGAGGATTGCTATGCCAGTGTTGTCTATCGGACGAACCGTACGTAATACGTACATAGCAGAGCTTGCAAAACTGTGTTTTTTTGTCAATAAACCGAACTTTGTCAACATAACTCACTGGAAATCCAAAATGCTTACACACCAGCGACTTCATTGAAAGAGGAGAGGGTTTAAGTTCTGTCGACGGGTCTCCTGCTTCTGCAGTTTAACAAGCACTTCAACAAGCCTGTTATTTTCCCGTTATTTTCAGCCAAGCTGACGTGACATGGGGGCGTGGCAGCATCGACGATTCTATTTTTTGATTCGATAATCAAAATTGAGCATAAATTTCGATCGATTGACACCCCTATCAGAAATAGACACTCACTCACATTACACTTCATTAGCTTAACCTGTTTAACTGCTGATATGTAATGTGAACTAGTTGTCACATTCTCATAAAGTGAAAGGATTCAATTGTAGGAAATATATGGGTGTTTATTAATAATAAAATAAAATAAAATAAACAGCAAAAACAAACTACCACAAAGGGGGAAAACATTAACAAAAGGCAGGACACGAAAGGACTGGAACAGGAACACATGGGAAGCAATGACGATGAACAGGCATAGGACGGCAGACATGAGGAGACTATAAGCAGAAAGAATTAATAAACAAACTGTTGAACTGAATAAACTAATAATGGGATAAGGGTGGGACTAGACAATACACCGGAGAGCACATGACACAAA